GTCTTTCTTGCGAAGTTATATAATAAATATAGTACATACTTTTATTTACAAATAAATGGAGCTCTGTTAATATATCTTGCAATGCTAGTCCCTTCTTGACTTTTATGTCTTGTATTTCTGTATAAACATGTGTTAAGAAAACTAGTGTTTGAAAGATAACAATGATACTTGTTCATATAACAAAAAGGATACTGCAATAACATAGTTCATACGATTCATTCAATAACCAGTTGACTATATTTTTTATATCAATTGGAAGAGGGTGGCCAATACATGAATAAACATTTTCCTCTGTGACTGCACCAAAAGCAAGCCATGTACTTTGGAGTACATTCAAAACTTTTCTCATATCCCCTCCACTCAGTGTTATCAATGCTTGCTTTCCATCTTCAGAAACATTTAAACTAAAGCATATATGTTATTAATATGTGTAACATGGTTTTAGTACAATAGGTAGACTTACTCTTCTTCTTTGATAATAGTGTTTAGCCTTGGTATAATTTGATCTGTAGACAATGGTCCAAACCTAAATTTAGTGCATCGGGACTGAAGAGCAGGGATAATCTTACTGAGGTAATTACATATGACACAAAACCTTACATTGTCCGTGTACTTCTCTATTACTGAAACAATCTCTGAATAGAACATGTCTTCATGTTTGAAACAAGCAATTAATGTCAGCACTTACTTCTTCGAAGAGCATTCTGAGCATCATTTGTCATAGCATCGGCTTCATCAAGAATAATTAATTTAAAACCAGTTTTATACATTGCACTGGTACTTGCAAAACTGAGAATTTGGCCTCTCACTATGCCAATGCCTCTGTCATCTGACGCATTCAATTCTAATACCTGTGTGGTAAAAATATATAATCCAATAAGTTTTATAAAATGAGAATGCTGTTTAATAAATGATCAAACCATTGAATTATATTGTCCTGGTGTGTACAACTTGCGTGCACAAGCAAGTATTGTACTGGTTTTTCCTGTGCCAGGTGGTCCATATAAAAGTAAATGAGGAAGTTCATTTTCATCAATGAATTTATTTACTGTAACAAAAACGAATTTTCGATAATTGTATATCCCTATAAAATCATAAAAGTAATGTAAATACAAACTGGTTTTAATAATTTCCTCGTGAGATATTAAATCGTCCAATAGCTTTGGTCGATACTTTTCGACCCTGTAATAATGAAAAATAAAAATATAGTTTTATCTGCTTATACAATCATTTTTAGAACGGAGTTGGGAACTAAATGTAATATTTACCATGGTAAATTGATGCACTGTACAGGTTTCGCTGTCATGGCTTATTATTCGTACTTTTATTACAAATCTCGTAAAAAATGACACGCAAGGTTAGAATCCACGTTTTGGCGCCTATTTTATTTATGTTGGCTACGAGTGATAAAAGTGCGCCACTTTTTCAAACAGAACATTCTAATTGGTTGATGAATTTGTCCAAATTTATCATGAAAAAAAAAATAATTTAAATTGTTTTATGTTTAATGAAGATCAGATCTCAATTAAAACAAAAGATTTATATTTCATTTCTAAACTTTGTAGACGATATTTGTCAATAAAAGAAGCAATTTGAATCATGAGTAATTCAGAATTGTGTCACCAAACTCCCGAGTACATAATGCTCACTAAGATTCGATTTAAATTAACCTTAACGGAATACAAAAATGACGATAATTTGAAAAACGAATTCCTCAACATAATTACACGCGAAAATATGACTCATTATTATCAAAATGCGTGCAAAGAATTTAATTGGAAAATTGACGAAGATCTACTGTACAAGATGAAGCATGAAAACGAAATTATATTGCAGAAGCTAGAATCTTCCGACAATTCGAATTTCGAAGATACCGAGAAGGAAAATTGTAGAAAAAAATTGGATTTCTTCTGTGAAATTGGTGATCTGGATCATGCCACAGACATTGCAAATTCAATTTTTAAAGACGAAACCAATTCAACGAGTATTAGAGTTGAAGCGGCGTTTGCTTTATTTAGAATAAAGTACATAAAAAATAATGTTCGTCTGATGGGAAAAATGATTGCTGAAATAACGAATTTAATAGAAAGATCTTGTTCGTCGGGTAGCAATTGGTGCTGTAGAAATAAATTGAAGGTATATGAAGCTGTTTATTGTCTTACAACAAGAAACTTTCCGCGTGCAGCATCGCTTTTATTAGACTGCATCCCCACTTTCGAATCCTATGAATTATTACCATTCAAAGAGGTTGTTGAATATACAATATTATCAGGAATAATTTCCCTATCCCGGTCAGACATTGATTCTCAATTTAATAACAATGGGTTCCTACAACAAGCGCTGCTTACAGAGTCTCCCAAATACAGGGAATATTTTTATTCTCTCTACGATTGTCATTACAAACAATTTTTCGAAAATTTAGCTTGGATTGAGACCGAACTTAGGACGAATTGTTTACTTCGTGCCCATTATCGTTATTACGTGAGGGAGATGCGTTTAAAAGCATATTCCCAGCTCTTGCAAGCGTACAGAACTATTAATTTAAGTAGAATGGCGATGGAATTCGGCGTGACAGAAGAGTACATAGAACAGGAAGTAGCATGTTTTATTGCCAGTGGTAAATTGCATTGTAAAATCGATAAAGTGGCTGGAATGATTGTCACGATTAGCGCCGCCGGTTGCAACAAGGGCCAAGCGCCTACTGCCACATGCAATCGAGGATTAATCTACCAAAATACGATAAAAAAAGGCGATGCGTTACTTAATCGATTAAAAAAACTTGGTCAAGTTATCGATTATTAATTTTACAGTAACTTTTCCTTAAAAATTATTATGTTGATTGAACTTGATATATCGTGTAATAGATAGTACTGACAACGATTTCGGGCGCCACGTACTATTTATTATTTTCTGTTCTAATTACATTGACGTTCTTCGTAAGTTTAGAATAAGTGTTGTATGATAACATAGGAAATATTATTCATAAAACAAAGTACTATGATTTGAATTTTTCAGTAAATTATAATAGGAAACATAGCGTTGGAAATTTGTCAATATCTTCCAGTGTAGTGAGTTGTTTACATCTTAACCTTATTCATGTAAGATTTAAAAATCAAGTTTATTTTCTGGAATGTTCTTCTTCATTTCAGTAATTGTCAACATTTTAATGAATTATGGCTCAACGAATTCTTACGAAATATCCTAGATCCATTTACAAAGGAACAAAAGAAATCAAGCAACATTTCAATTATCTGCTTGTAATGGATTTTGAATGTACTTGCAAAAAATTTGAGAAAATTGAACCTCAAGAAATTATCGAATTTCCCTGTGCAGCAGTTTCTACAACAAGTTGGCAAATAGAGAACGTGTTTCACGAGTATATTAAACCAAGATTTCATCCCCAACTTACTACATTTTGCACAGAACTCACAGGAATTATACAAAGCATGGTGGACAATCAACTACATTTCCCAGAAGTGTTTAAAAAATTTTGTAAATGGTTAGAAGAGAATAATTATTTTAAAGATGGAAATGATAGTGCATTTGTCACATGTGGTGATTGGGATCTCAAGCACATGTTACCATACCAATGTAAACTAGACAAAGTGTCACTACCTGCACAGTTCTCAAAATGGGTAAATTTGAAAGGTAGTTTCTGCGATGCAACAGAATTTTATCCACGGAGCTTAATAGATATGCTTTCACATTTTGACCTTCCTGTACATGGAAGAATACATTCTGGCATTAGTGATGTAGAGAACATGGTTAAGATAATACAAAATTTAAACTCAAAATACAATTTTGAATTTAAAATAAATAGTGCACAAACTGATGTTTGGCAACAATATATAAAACATAGGTAGGTTTAAAGACATACCATTAAAGGAAACAAATTTGTTGAAAACTAATTTATTAATAATAAAATATTGCTCGTATAAAAATGCAAAACTACAGTGTACTCTGTATAATAAATATTTCAATAAAAAAATTAACTCTAAAACTTCAATTTACAATCGTTTAACATTGACCCTTATTTGTACATCAAGTTTGTTATTCTCTGTATAAATCTCAAGAATCGCATTCAAGTTGCGTTCTATTTTTCGTTTGCACTGTATCTTCAACTGAAAGTCCCTTCGCGTTGGTATCATTCCCTCGGCTGGAACAACACTTAGATACTCTGTATTTGATAAAGAAGTTTCAAACGGTTGTGCCACGGTACAAGAACTTTTTATTGTTACAATTGCTTCCGTTCTAGTCGGTGGAGTTAAAAATACAAGGGATGGGCTAATCATAAAATGACCGGTATTCATATCGTTCTGAAGTGTACTGTTTCCTGCTAGTGTGCTGTAAATTTTTTAATCAAACATAAATGTTTCTGAAAACTTTCAACGACTAAGAAGTTAATCACACTTACTCAGACGGTAAAAAACTTTCTCCATTTCCTTCGTATATATGGCTGTTATCACTGCAAAGGGAATAAAACATCTGTGACTCGTCTGCATTATCATGAAGGACAGACAGCGTTTCATCGGCACATGCTTCCATCGTTAGCATTATTTCGTGTTGACGAATTCCTCGACAAAGATCTCCAAGATTTTGCTGAATAACATACAGATTAATAAAACACTTAATTATCAAAATAATTAATTAAGTATACATACCACAGAATCTCGGATAGCGCTTATATCTGACGTTATCTGTTCGCCAGGGAAAGCTTTACATATCGGATGAACTATGTTTCTAAAAGCCTCGTTTTCATTTCCATTGAACTCGCCGATTTCTTTCATTTTATTGTACAATCTAGAAATTTATTTGAAAATTAGTTTATAACAATTATCTTAAAATTTAACAATTACTCACCTACGAATACGCCAACGTGTAGGTTCATCTCCATGACTGATTAATAGCGTTCCTACATGTGATACGTCAGACCGCCGTAATAATGCTAAGTCTTCTTTTCGCGGTTGAAACTCTAAACTCACCCATTGAATTTCCTTTGGATTCAGTAGTAATTCGGTTGGATTTACTTGCCAGCTCGATACCATAGTAGGATACACAGCTGAAATAATTTAGAAACATATTTAAAAAATGATAGTTCGGTTCTATTATGCATTTAACTAAAATACCTTTTGGCACCAATTTTATTTTAACGTATGAACATAGATCTCCGATGTTTTGCAATTTGATCTTTGCATTTAAGGAACCTCCAGAATTTAAAATACCAAGGGATAACCACATTTTTCCACTGGTGTCTTTGAATGCCTCGGAAATTTCAACCTTGCTATAACCACCGTATCCATAAAGATATAGCTGTAAATAATACACTGCCTGTTAACTAATTCCTAATAATATATCAATAAGTATACCTACCACTTTCGAGGGTCGAGATTCATTGTCTTCTCTTCTAGGCTCATAATGTCTGAAGACTATTTTCCCCACAGCTGCGCCCATGTGATGGGGGCTAAATACAACAGACAGCGTCCTACTTTCTGAACCTTGTAGGGGCAGTACAATATTTGTACCAACAGCTTGCCGTTCTCGAAGAAACTAGGAAAAATTCTTATAAATATTTTTGCAGCTATAAATTTTTCATTATTTTTAAGATGGACGATATGCATTACCCGAAAGTTTTTCTCACTGTCCGAAATAATAGCTTGGATCTTAATCTTATTGTTGCTTGTATTACGAATGGTAAATTCCTTGATTTCTGATTTTCCTGTCTTTACACTATTCCATACCAAAGCAGCGTGTGTTGTTCTTATAGGAATCTTGTCTCCAGCAACAGTCGAACCAGATACCGAGCTGAGGGGTGAATTTCTGCCAGATATACCTGATCTGTTATCGTAAAGAATAATTTTAGATTTAACACACGTTACTTCATAAAAATTTAATACAATATACTCTGTCAAACTTACTTGTTCGAAATCACGCTATGAGGAGATGACGGAGATCTAGTAGATGATGAATATTGAGGTGTTTCGCAGCGAATGAAATTTTCATTTTCCGCCTCGGTATATGCGCTGGATTCTCCAATTACAGAATAGTGATAGACATTATTAACTGCGATTAATTTAATCTTCATATACCTATGAATATAAATTAAAATTAATACAGATAAATTCATGGTATTATGTACATTTATGAAACATTTCCTCACATTTTGGCAACGTTCAAATTTTGTTGTTTATACGTGACATGGAAACAGCCAGTTTCGTTAGGTTGTACGAACAAGTTTTCCGGTTGTATCGAGAAATATTTGGAATTCTTTGTTGATTCGATGTCTTGCACGAATGACGCGGATACTAACGCTGGCATAGTCCCCAAATTTATCACAGTCAATGGTTTGCTTTGTTTGTTAGGAACGATCAACGGTAGATCTGTGTCGATTACTTGTATCTTACAAGTTCCCACTTGTACGAGAAGAGGAACTTCTTTGACGATTATACTATCTTCTGAAGTATTTGCAGCTTGAATAATTAATGTGCCATCATGATATTGTAAAGATTGTTGTTGCATTTCTGTAGTTTGGTGCAAGACACCTATACACTTGATATTCGTGGTGAATACCTCTTGAGGCTTAAGCGTTACATGTTTCAATTCATTAGAATTTTCTAGGCTGAATACTATCGGTCCATTCTGAATAAAATTTAAAAAAATATTTAGAAAATAAAGTCTGTATAAAATTATTTAATATTATCACCTGTAATATGGAAAATTTGATAGGAACATTGACGCTGTTTTTGTTCTTAATTGTAATAGGTAAAACTGCTGTACTGTTCTCAACAACACACTGAAAGTCTAACTCCTTTTTCTGAGAGGGATTTAAGATACTGATATCGATCTCTTCAGGCTTGAGACAGATAATGTGTTTCATAATCCACTCGGATCTCGTTACCATATCCGATACTGTTATGTTTATAACTGTTATAATTGGTTTGCTCATTTTCATCACTGTTACTCCAATCTAAAATAGTTACCTTTTAATTTTCATACCATCGTAAACTTTGTATTTACTTTTTACCTTAGCATGTTGTTCGGAATTTGGTTTAATAAGAATAACATCTTTTGGTAATGTAAGTCGAACATTATGCTTGTCCCCTTGCACTTGGTGTACGCTCAGCGAGCAGATGACCCATCTATCGCTTTTATTTAAGAGTTCGATATTAGCCTCTCTGGACATACCCACGATACAGCTGCACAATTCTTCTGTGTGTTCTCCAATTGCAACATCTACAAAATATACAAATTAATAACTGAAAAAAACACCAAATATAAAGAAAGATACACTCATGTTATTATATCATACTATTAAAGTGAGATTGAGTGCCTTGCAAATTTGAGAGATCTTGTATAAATGTTTCTGTTTTGTCTTTATAAGAAATATTTTCCTGTTTTATATTTTCTTTCTTTCCTATTTCTTCTTTTTCAAGATCAAATGATATAAAATCTAAAATTAAGGATCTTCCTTAAACCAAATTGAGTACAGAGACTTAATGTGTTTGTTAGTCAAGTAAAATTTTAAAAATGAAACTGTACCTTGATTGTACAAAGGTGGGATGTTTCCATTATTTCTTTCTTTCTTAAGCTCCTGACAAGCAGTTTCGAAACAGGTTCTCGCACCTACATTGGAATCGAATGATAACATCTCTGGAATAGAATGTTTACTGTTTACTACTTCATTGGTAATTTTACTGTCCAAAGACAATTTTGTTGAGAGATTTAATAACCCCATATTTTTTTCGAAATGTTCAATATTCCTGCTTGATGTAGCTGGCATGGATTTTCTATTTGAAGGTAACAACGTGTAAGTATCTCTTTCTGGCTTCTCTTCCATCATTTGCATAGATTTTTTCTTCTTCTTTGCCATGATAAGTTGATCCACCAATCTTCGTGGTGTACCATTATCAATATCTTGTAAAGCTCGAGCAATACTTGTTAAACTCATGATGCTTTGTTCTTCTATTTCTTTCGTTGTACTCGGTATATTTTGTTGACTTCTATCTTTATTGGTATAGGATCCAACTAAGGATTCTGCAGAAAAAAAATTATCCTTCACACATAATACGAATTTTGTTTTAATGAATATACTTAGTACCTTCTGTTATCATAGTTGAATCAACCAAAGGTATAAGTTGACCTTTCTTTTGGGGGCTGTTTACAGATAAACCTAAACTTGGTCTTCCTGGCGCATTATCCGATAATTCTCCGAAATTTCCACATTTTCTTCTGAAAAACTCATCCACGGATAACTTGCGCCCAGCACAAGACCTAAAATTTGATCGTATTATGCTTGTGATTCAAATATTTACAGAGCTAGAAACTTACTCTACTGATAAGTCTAATTCACCAATGATACCAGAAAAACAAGATAAGTTTAAGTATTCTTTTTCCTTAGGAACTGTCATGGGAAGAGCATAAGAATAATTTTGTTGCCAAGATAGTTCATCAGCCAGCATCTGACTGGCCATTTCAGAAGCAGGACGAAATTCTTCATTGTTAAATTGAGCCATCAGCTCAGCAGTTGTTGTATCACATGTTAATGTGTTCACATTCTTATTTGATAATGCTGATATACATTTTTCTGAACTCCTACTTAATCCTGATGAACGTGCACTTATCTCATTTGGTTCAAAAAGAATACTACTTGCTTTTTTAATACCTGAATGCAATGTGTTTCTATTCTGCAGATTAGTCTGACTAGAATAAACAGACTGACTTGAATCAATTAAAGTTAAAGGTGTAAAATTACCAGATAAGTTCTGCATATTTGCATTATTTTCTTTGTTTGTATCTGCAATAATCACCAGGTGTATGCATTACTACTTTACAGATAAAAAACTATATTCATAAATCTGATCTCATGTGTTTAAATCATAAGTTTTTACCATATATAATGGATGTAGTCTTTATATCACTACATCTCTGAAGTAATCTCCTAGCAAGTTCACGTTCTGTATCCAATTTACTGTCACCTTGCTTCTCTGTATCTCCCATTCCACTCACTTCAGCTAAAACTAAAAAAATTCATTGTCGAATGAATGTATCAACATAGTTTATGTGATATACAAGAGACTTACAGGAAGAGATATTATTGATTATACCAAGAGATGAATCATCAGACTTTTGTATCACATCATTCTTGCCTGCCTTAGACTGTTTGTACATGTCTTCAGCAACATCCCTGTCAAGGAACTTATTATCTAATCTGAAAAGGAATTGTTTCAATATTTTTTTCTTTTTTAGTATTTCACCATCAATCGAATTACATTACATTATTTAAACAACTAAAAATTAAAAACTTACGTGCTTTTTCTTTGTACCGTGGAAGTTGCTTGCGGTTGAGGAGTGTTTAACACAGTCACATCGATAAAATCCGCCCCCGTGGGCTTGGGTGGCGTGAACATTATCAAAATATTTCTTTATTTATCGCTCGATTATACTGGCCAACGATTTCTTATAGAAACTCTACGTACGTATAAAAGGTTTTGAACGATTTACTAATCGCCTAATCTTTGAAACAAAGGAAGTTTGTATCATATTACTCTTAACGTATTACTTGACAGTTGATCGATTTTAGCGTTCAAATTTGAAAATATTCTGTGGTTACTAATCATAGAATACAAAACTCGTACTATGTCAGATCAACGACTCGTATATCGGTGAATATAATGAAACTGCCATCTGGATTAAATGGTACTAAAGTAACACCATGTGCGTCGTCGACAGGGCGTATCGATGGCATACATATGTATAATAATGCCGTGAAAGATACTCGGAAAAACGTAAAGCTACTAATTAACTGTAGTAGTGAAAATGTTTAAAAATAAAAATATCTTTAGTCTCATCATGTATTGATGAAAGTTAATGAATATTAAGAAATATGTTCTGACTTCATTACGACTGAATGAAGGTTTTGTACTTTGAAGATCGCAATAAAGATTGTAACATATTGACAATACAATGGACGAAAAGGTAGCGATAACGACAGAAAGGAACAGATTAAATTATGAGAATAAATTGATATTGGCACCTATGGTGCGAATCAGCACTCTTCCTATGCGTCTTCTTGCAATTGACTACGGTGCTGATATAGTGTATACGGAGGAATTAATAGATTGGAAATTATTGCGATCGTTTCGACGTGAAAACGGTAAGAAAATGTTAGTATTACAAAATTATGAAAAAATATTTCTATTCTATTAAGGGAACAAAAAAGTTACTTTCATATATTTCTCTTCAGATGTTCTGGGAACAGTTGATTACATAGACAAAACAGATGGAACTGTTACATTTCGGACCTGCCCTAGAGAAAGAGATAAAGTAGTCCTACAAATTGGTACTTGTGATGCAACAAGAGCATTGAAAGTTGGCAAAATGATAGAACAAGATGTTGCTGGGATAGATTTAAATATGGGCTGTCCTAAACTGTTTTCCTTGGTAGGAAAAATGGGTGCAGCTCTTCTACAAGAGCCAGAAACAGCCAGAAATATTCTGAAAACCTTAGTAGATAATCTGAGTATTCCAGTGACGTGCAAAATACGTGTATTACCAGATTTGAATAAAACCTTAGAACTCTGTGAACTTTTGCAATCAACTGGTATATCTGCAATAGCAGTACATGGTCGCACTGTTAGTGAAAGACCACAGCATGCTAATCGTAATGTAGTATTGAAAGAAATTTCAAATAGACTTTCAATACCAGTTATAGCAAATGGAGGCTCAAAAGAAATACAGAAATATTCTGACATTTTCAAGTAATACCTCGGTTAAAATTCTGTTCCTTAAATATTTTTATTTTGATGTAATTCTAGTTATTTACAGATTTAAAGAAATAACAGGGTGCAGTAGTGTGATGCTTGCTCGTGCAGCAGAATGGAATTGTTCCATATTTAGTAAAGAGGGTTTACTTCCTATGGAAGATGTGATAAAATCATATTTAAAATATGCTGTGAACTGTGACAACCCACCTTCCAATACCAAATACTGTATACAAAATATTCTTAGGGAACAACAGGAATCAGTACTAGGCAGAAAGTTCCTCAATTCTCAAACTTTAGAACAGATATGGTATGATTTATATTATTCAAGTAATGTGACTGGGTATTTTAAATTTAATAGATATATTATTTTAGCAATTGTTGGGATTTAAGCGACTATTATCGTTTGAAGAAAAGAGAATTTGATGAAAAAGGTTTATTAGGAAGATCACAAGTTTCACCTATGAGAGAAGATGATAAACAGGATGGAGAGCAACTACCTAATAAAAGAAAGATTGCCGATGAGGAGGATGTAGTTTTAATGCATTGTGCATTTTTAAGAAATAATTATGTAACGGATCTACAATTGCCGAAAACTGTATTACACAAATGGTCCCAAACTCAAAGAAAAAAAATGCCAAACTATAACACGCAACAAAAAGGGAAACTTTTCCGTTCCATTGTTACAGTGGACGGAAGGAAATATGGATCATCCTTCTGGTACTAAAAATTCCGTATAATGCGTTATGCATTCTCATTTCAATAATACAATGTAACGTAATTGTGACTTTCATGTTTTAATTCTTTTAGGGAAAAAAATAAAAAATGGGCAGAACAAGGAGCAGCACTGGTTTGCCTCTTTTCTTTAGGCTTAATCAATGAAAAAACATTTGCCGCGAACGGCAATGTTCCTTCCTGATACTGGACAATTGAAGAATAGGAATAATTAAAAGTACTGAAGGAAACAAATGTACTCTTGAAAATATTTTGCATTGAATAATGAAAATTGAGCTTATATTTTTTTATTAGTTTTGTTATCAATAAAATAACATTTTTTTGTTACATAAAAGTAGTCTTCATTCCTCCTACTAGTTAAAAAAATTAATATTCCTATATTGTCAGTATAAATGTACGGCAATAATGAGGAAGCATAGAATTTGTATTCTATAATTTTATATGCTCCTATTGGTAATTATAAATATCATAAATTATTTAATTTGGAAATATCAAAATAAAGAAATTTTTTTAAACATTTACAAAATTAGAGAAGTTTATAGATATTTTGAATTTTTTTTTTCTCATGTTGCACACTCTAATTGTACGTATTTCGCCATCTATCATTGAAACCATGAAATAAAGTAGCAGACGTAAATGCATTTGTGTGTGTGAGTAGAATTACACAGAGGAAACTGTTAAGTTTTATTAACATGTAAATAAAGTAAAGAAAATTATTGCAAATCATTATAAAGGAATAAGTACTTACAATTTAATAATTAAATCATTATGTAATAATGGGTCCACCGAAACGTTTCAAAAAAGATGGTAGGAATCTCTTTTATTCCATTAATAAATTTTATGTATTTTGCCTTTAGATATTACTGTTAGTTGTTGAAAATATGAATAAAAACAAAATTATTAGGTACTACAATAAAAGCTGTCATTTATTTTTTAGATAGAGGTAAATGGAAGAAGCGTAAAGAAGATCCAGAAGAATTCAATGATGATGATTCTTTAGATGATAATGAAGCTGAAGGCATACCTGATGCAGCAAAAAATGATGTTGAAAAGCAAGATGAATCGGCATTAGAAGATGAGTTTGGTGCAAAAGATTATCGTTCACAGATGATTCTAAAGCCTGATTGTGCTTCTAGACCACTTTGGGTGGTAAGATAATACTGATTAGTCTCTTATCTATTTACTTTTTATATATTAGAATTAGTTTAATACTTCAATTTTTTTTAGGCTCCAAATGGGCATATATTTTTAGAATCTTTTTCACCTGTGTACAAACATGCTCATGATTTCTTAATTGCCATCTCAGAACCTGTATGTCGTCCAGAACATATTCATGAGGTGCTAATATTATTATATGTATTAAAGTGTATACATATAAAGGTTATAAAAATTTTGATTACTTAAATTTTACTTTGTAGTACAAATTGACTGCTTATTCTTTGTATGCTGCTGTTAGCGTTGGCCTTCAAACACATGATATTATAGAATATTTAAAAAGACTTAGTAAAACTAGCATTCCTGATGGAATTATAGAGTTTATAAAATTGTGTACATTGTCTTATGGCAAAGTGAAGTTAGTATTAAAACACAATAAGTATTTTGTTGAATCACCATATCCAGAGGTATTGCAAAGACTACTGAAGGATCCAGTAATTCAAGAGTGTAGGTTAAAAAAAAGTATAGAAGATGAGAAAGAAGAAGTTATTACGAATGTTCAAAATAAAATAAAAGCTCCACAGGTAATAATGTTTTTGTATCAATGATATAATTATTTTTAATGAAACACAGTATGAATAATTTATATTCCTTGCAGTTTGGAGTAAAAACAATGACCAATGTTTCAACTGTAACTACTAAAGTACCAGAAACAACCAATGATCAAGTTTTAGCAGAAACAGCCACTATTCCTGAAGATATAACTACTTTTTATGATAAAATGGATAAAGAGGATGAAGATGAGGAAGAAGAACAGGAACTAAAAACAGTTAGCTTTGAAGTGAACCAGGTACATAATTTTTATCTTTACTTGTAAAATACTAACATTCTCTACTACTTATAATAAATTGAATTGTAGGAAAAAATTGAAGTTATACAAAAAAGATGCATAGAACTAGAGTACCCTTTATTAGCAGAGTATGATTTCAGAAACGACTCCGTAAATCCAGACATAAAGTAAGCACAATCCTTACACTATTATATTGCATTATATGAAAGAATATCATGAAAATAAATACATTATATTTTAGCATTGATTTGAAACCATCGGCTGTGTTGAGACCGTACCAAGAGAAGAGTTTAAGAAAAATGTTCGGAAACGGACGTGCCAGGTCAGGCGTCATAGTTTTGCCCTGTGGTGCTGGTAAAAGTTTAGTGGGCGTGACAGCTTGCTGTACAGTTCGGAAACGTGCATTGGTGTTATGTAATTCTGGAGTGTCGGTAGAACAATGGAAACAGCAGTTTAAGATGTGGTCAACGGCGGATGATTCGATGATCTGTCGATTCACAAGTGAAGCTAAGGATAAACCTATGGGCTGTGGAATTTTAATCACGACATATTCTATGATTACACATACGCAAAAACGTTCATGGGAAGCTGAACAGACAATGCGATGGCTTCAAGAACAAGAATGGGGAATAATGGTTTTGGACGGTAGTATATTTTTCCCATTGAATTGTGTTTTTTTTTTAAATTATATTTAACGCATGTACATTTTTAGAGGTGCACACGATACCTGCAAAAATGTTTAGAAGAGTCTTAACCATCGTTCAGTCCCATTGTAAATTGGGTTTGACCGCAACATTACTTCGAGAGGACGACAAAATTGCAGATCTCAATTTCCTGATTGGACCTAAACTTTATGAAGCTAACTGGTTGGAATTACAGAAAAGGGGCTTCATCGCGAGAGTACAATGTGCCGAAGTTTGGTGTCCTATGACACCAGAATTTTACAGAGAATATCTTGGCTGTAAAATGAGTAAAAAGTTGGTGAGTAATCGTTTGTCATTTAATTTAGAATAGTATGACATCTAATGATATTGCAATGCATTTTAATCTAAAACAGCTGCTTTATGTGATGAATCCTAACAAATTTCGTTGCTGTCAATATTTGATACGATATCACGAACGACGTGGTGATAAAACCATTGTTTTCTCCGATAACGTTTTTGCTTTGAAACATTATGCCATTAAAATGAACAAGCCGTACATTTATGGTCCTACTAGTCAAGTAAGTATACGTGTATAACTTCGATAAAAATAAAAATTTTAGTAATTACTAGATACGTGATGTTGTAATGAATTTCAGAGTGAACGAATACAAATCTTACAAAATTTTAAATTCAACACTAAAGTGAACACAATATTTGTGAGTAAAGTGGCGGATACTTCTTTCGATTTACCGGAAGCTAATGTTCTTATTCAAATATCTTCTCATGGTGGTTCACGTCGTCAAGAGGCACAACGTTTAGGTCGAATTTTGAGAGCAAAGAAAGGTATGTTCTTCTAAATACATATTTTAAATTTTTAGCATATGTATAATTGATATAAATCTACAAAACGTATTTTTTAAATTTTCATTACGGGCTCAGATAAAAAAGTTGTTAAATGTAACCTTTACAATTTTCTTCGCGATTTCCACAAATTGCAATTTTTTCAAAATTTATTTGTACACGTCATCTAGTATACTAATCCTTCTAACTTATAAAAAAAACTCAAGTCGTTAGATTCAATTTTAAAAAAGTTATACTGTTTTAAAGAGTGTCCGAATATTAGTGTATTAATTTAATTACTTTAATTTAATTAAATTAATTAATTTAACACTGTATTAATTTAAATAGAATCGATTAACTAGTATTAAGTATTGTAGGTGCCATCGCAGAGGAGTACAATGCATTTTTCTATACATTAGTGTCACAGGACACAATGGAAATGAATTATTCGAGGAAGCGGCAGCGTTTTCTTGTGAATCAAGGATATGCTTATAAAGTAATTACTAAACTTGCAGGAATGGATGAAGTATGTATCATTGACCTACAATTCAATAAACATTTCCTAAAGATTACTTCAGATTTTATTTTTGTGATTATTAAAATAGGAGCCAGATTTGATGTATACATCTCGGGAAGAACAGTGTCACTTATTACAACAAGTTCTTTCTGCAAGTGACATGGATGCAGATGAAGAGAGAATACCTGGAGAGGGGCCAAGACCTGTGAGTTTTATTTGTAACATCCTTAAAGGACATCTCCATTAAATTAGAAGACGCACCATTTTATTTCACTTGAACTATTATTTTAGATTATACGCAAAGCCGGAAATATGACGTCAATGTCTGGCGCTGACGATGCAGTTTATTACGAATATAGAAAAGCGCCCAGTTCATCGACAGCAAACAAGCATCCATTATTTAAGAAGTTTAGGGCGTAAAGGACTTCGATCGTACGCGCGCGCGTGTGTGTGTGTGTGTGTGTGTGTGTAATTAATTAAGGAGTAAGCTTTTGTACTTCTTACAATATATCTCTAATTAAATACATGATCAACAAAATACACAATTTGCGTTGTGTGTAACACACGTTTCGTGCCTCTCAATTCTTTATAAATTCGATACGCACAATGTAAGTACTTACGTAATACAAATTACGTGAAGTGCAATTTATGCGAATGTAAACCACCGGCTTGACGGTTGACTTAAGCAATGCGATAAGGCTATTCCTGATAAATTTGTTAGTTTAGAGTCATAATGTACATTTAACATGGTATTTATTCAACAGTAGTTCTCTAAATAAATCGCAAATATTGAACTAAAGTTATAACATTTTAGTCAATTAATTAGTATTGCATTGTAGGGATATATATTGGGTTGTCCGCAAAGTTCGTGCCGATTTTCGATAAGTGGCATTAGGACAGGTTTGAATATGTCAGAATGATCGTAAACAAATGACATGTGTACATATTTTAGGTGATATTTCAGGCATCTCTAGAAAAAAGTTTGGTAGGGTACATTAATTTTTGTCAGTTTTATACGGTCTTGAATATGGAAGGAAACAAAGTACATTATAGACATTTAATGCTTTTATTTTACTGGAAAGGCAAAAATGCCACACAAGCAGCAAACAAGATATGCGCCGTTTATGGGGGAGGTGCCATAGCTGAAAGAACTGTGCGGAAGTGGTTTGCTAGGTTTAAAACTGGTGATTTTAACCTTGACGATCAAGAACGCCCTGGTAGACCCTCCACTATACGACACGAGAATTAGCAGAAGTGTTAAAAATATCAAAAATCACCATCCACGAGCATTTTGTGAAGCTTGGCTACGTAAATCGTTTTGATGTATGGGTTCCCCACAATTTAATGGAAAAAAATCTGATGGATCGCATTTCCATCTTTGACTCGCACTATAAACGCAACGAGGAGACACCATTTTTGAAGCAAGTAACCAGATCTTGCATCCTCAGATTTTCCCTTATTTAGGTCTTTACAAAATTCCCTTAATGGCAAAAACTTTAACTCTTTGGTCGAGGTAAAAAATCACCTTGAAATGTTTTTGGCCGAAAAACCTGAGAAGTTCTGGAAGGATGGAATCTTCAATTTGCATGAGAGATGGAGAAAGGTTGTAGAACAAAATGGTACCTATATAATTCAATAAATATATATCGAAATTTAAATGAGCTGCCTTTGAATTTTCCTTAAAAATCGGCAGGAATTTTTCGACTACCCAATAGTTTATTTAATACAATTGTTTTTTAAATTATAAGTTCCAATATTTAATTCTACTCTAAGTTTATAAAAAAAATCTTAAAAACCATAATATAACATCTGAGGTAATAAAAAGTCTATTTCATTTTTATGTTATCTTCAGACCTGCCTCTTTCCGATTAGAATGTCAGTCAATGATAATGCACTACCTGGATGCATTTCATAAAAGTCGTGGGTTACGCGCGCTAAACGTCAGTTGGCTATAGTGGTGGATGACGCGTTCGTCCTGAACTAGTAACGAACTAGCCGTGCGAGCTGCCGGCTGTCACATGCAGAGCCAGTTATCCCGGCGACGCTTGGCGGTGCGTCGTTACATGCGAGATGTGTTGTATTCGTACTCGTTTATCACCGTCTGTTTTGTCTTCTTCGCCCTTCTGATTGAACTATTCTTTGATCCACATCCCTCGACAGTTGTTTGGTTATCGACATGACACTCACCAGCACGCGATGGCAGTGCCGTAGTTACGGCCGAATCGGAACAGGACAAGGCCACATAGACGCATCATTATGAAAGGAAGTAGTAGTTATTCGTGAACGTCCTGCCTTCTCCTATATATACAAAAGTCTTCACTGGAAGGATTGGTGAACCTCAAGAATATACCAAATGTCACGAGTACAAGAAACATCCAGCGTATCAATATGTGTATACGCTACGAGGTAAGAGGAAAGAGAAAGAAAACGCGTCTCCCTGTGCACTCCATCCTACATACGATATCCAGGTGAACAAAAGGTGGCATCGTGGACTGTCAAGAGGGAAGAACACACGAGAAAAACGAATACGTCGGTGTGTCGTCTGTGGGTAGGGGCGAAGTTCAATGAAAATTGAGGAGGATCGCGTCGCGACAAAGAGGGTGCTACCGTGTCAGTGATACTGTGAACTGAGGCTGTTTCTGCTTTGTAGTGGAGGAACGTAGAAGAAAAGGAAAAATAGAGAGGATATATAGGGGAGCTAACACGTCCGTCGGCACTCGACGTGCCGGTATATCTCGAGTGCTCGTCGGTAGCCGCGTCCACGGCTACGCGACTATAACACCTTAAGCGTCGCGTGTGAATGTGTTGGCAGCGGTGGTCGCGTCTTCGTCGTCGACGTCGTCGTTGTGATCACCGTGAAAACGGTGCAACACCGTGGAGATTGCCGAGAACACCTCATCGATGGCCCGCGCGATGGTTCCACGGGAACGTCCGTGATCGCGGCGCGACGGGAACGTCGAGGATGCCGCGAATATCGTTTACGCGCAGAAGGATGACGGGCTTTCAGATCGTCGCTCGGATCGATAGGTACGAAAGGATCGAATAATCATCGCGACAACACCACCGGAGAAGAAGACACCAGCAGGTGTGTGTGGTGAAGTGAGGTGTGTGAACCAGGAGTTCCCCCCTCTTCACGGAGGTTAAGCCTCCGTGAGCAACGAGGATCCTCGCTCGAAGATGAACTCCATGCTATATACCCTCCAAGGGTTCGCGATATTTTTTATGATATTTTGGTCGGCACTGTGGATCTTGCATGTGCTGGCGCTGATCGCCGGTCACTGGAAGCTGCACCGGAAAGTCACTCAAGCACCAATCTACGAGACGCCGTTGCCCGGCGTGTCGATCATAAAGCCTCTGATGGGCGTCGATCCAAATCTATTCAGCAACTTGGAGACCTTCTTTACCATGCAATACCCTCGTTACGAGTTGCTGTTTTGCGTGGAGGACGACTCGGATCCTGTGTTGATGTTGGTGCGTAAATTGATCGAGAAATATCCGGAGGTTGACGCAAGACTGTTTATCGGCGGCCGGAATGTGGGCGTGAATCCGAAGATTAACAATATGCAGCCGGCATACGAGGCGGCTAAACATGAATTTGTGTTGATTAGTGACAGTGGTATCAAGATGAAAGAAGATACGTTATTGGACATGGTGAATTACATGACCGACAACGTAGCATTGGTGCATCAGATGCCGTTCACGTGTGATCGGGAGGGTTTTGCCGCAGCGTACGAGAAAATATTCTTCGGCACTGTACTGTCACGTATGTACCTTGCCGCTGATTTGCTCAGGATAAACTGTCATACCGGTATGTCAGCGTTACTGAGGAAAGCGCCGTTGGACGAAGTCGGCGGATTAAAGACATTCGGCGTGTATCTCGCCGAGGACTTTTTCTACGCAAAGTCGTTGACCGACCGGGGTTGGCGTATCACCGTGTCCTCGCAGCCGGCGTTGCAGAACAGCGGCCACTGTGAGCTGCATTCGTTTCAAGCGAGACTACGCAGGTGGGCGAAGTTACGCGTGGCCATGCTGCCCACAACGATCGTTCTGGAACCGCTTAGCGAGTGTTTAGTGTTAGGTGCCTGTGCTTCCTGGGCGGCTAGCGTACTGTTTGAGTGGGACTCGTTGGTTTTCTATTTGGTACATATACTGTTGTGGTTTATGTTCGACTGGTCACTATTGTGCGTCGTACAAAATGGACCGTTGCCATTTAACAAATTGGAATTCGTATGCGGATGGTTACTTAGTGAGATCACCAGGCCCTATCTTTACCTCCAGGCGGTTCTAGATCCTCTGATACAGTGGCGGTCGCGTGTTTACAAGCTCAGGTGGGGCGGAATCGCAGAGGAAGTTAAAGCGAAAGTCAAGTATTAAAAACCGCGTGAAAACGAAATTCGTTCTTATTTTTCTCCTCTTGCTTTTCTTTTCTTTTTTTAAATATATATTAGCAGATCAACATCCACATCGTGCTACAAGCGTGGGTGTGTTGTAATTATTCGATATAATATTATGCTATTACGCATATGGTACTTATTATACTATGTTAGAAACGAGAAAAAAATACACACCGTATACGCACGACATACGTATATATCGATACAGGGGGGTTGTACGCGCGCGCGCGCGCGTGCTTACATCATACATACATATGCACGCGCTTACGCAGATACAATAATCGCGCATGTATATACGTCATACGGTGCCGTGCGGGCACGGTTTTTAAATTCTTCGTCATATCATCTCCGCCGGCTCGTAACGATGTGTTCACTTTCTGTGCAATGTCCTTTGGAAGATAATGATAATATAAAGAATGCTTTATTTTTCTTTTTTTTTTTTATTTACAATAGGCTATCTTGTGAGGTTAAACGTATAGTGATAATCGATGTACGTAAGCCTTTTTCGAGGTCCTCGCCCGGAACGAGGCCGACCTTTAAGTCATTATTGTAGTATTATACATGTATATTGTGATATCGATAGGTTCTAATGAAACGATTTCTTAAGATGGGATTTCCTATCAGTGTTAGACGCGTGCTTCTGGCGTATACGTTTGACTCTTTCAGCTACGTGCAGCGTCCGCACGCAGGTAGTCATTTCTAATATACGTGTAAGGCATTCATTTAATACAGTGTCGTCAACCAAACGAACAGGTTGTGCGTTGAGAAAATGAAATAAATTTTTTAATTAAACCAGAATTTACTATCGCTACTGTTTACAAAAGTAAGAAGATAAGAAAATTCTTTTAGTACTTTTGGGGGGAAAAAGAAAAAAAATGAAAAGCATGCACAAAAAGCGAAATAAAGGAGGTTATTCCACTATATCATTTACTATTTAGATTAAACAAAAAAACAAGATTGATTTCATCTTAAATTTCATTGGGAATTTAATGTTGGATTGATACTGTTATTACTCTTATTGTAAAAGGCAGGGTAATTTTCTATATTTTCCATTAATATTTCATATTCCCCGGAAGAGATAAGAGAAGGGACGTGTATATACGTCTGACGTGAATTCGACAGTTGAAAAGCACTTATAAGAAAACGAAAGCATGCTTTTTCATTGTAGCGGCACACAAGCGTCTGACGCATATGTGAGACGCACGCGTCTGACGCTAATAGGAAATCCCACCTTTACGAAAGAACACAGCTGAGGACGCTATCGACTTGACGTGTCTTGTTGACGTATTCGCTGTTTCGTTCACAGAATGTTTGCACGCTTATTATTTCTGTCGCCACAATAACTAACAACGAGTTAACGTTGTTTCAACATTTAGTTGAAAAATATTTATTTTTTTCCCCCTTGTTCGGATTAAAATTGGTTAACTTATGAATTAAGAAATTTTAAATGTAAAGTCTACAGGTAAACGAGACGTTGATGGTTTAAATTATGGAAGAAATTGAAATCGATAAGAGGTTAGGGTTAAACGGCAGTAATATTCGTTGTTGGTACCGCATTGTTTGCCGTTCTTACATCGATAAAACGGACGAAAGTGGAATCGAGCAAGGATACACCCGTTCGCGAAACTGCTAATTAACCTATTATAGGTGGCGCATGTGTAGTTATCGTTTAAAAACACGTTCGGTCAACAAGTATTATGGCACATAACTGTTACATGGACGAATGTAGCAGTCATTTCATTTGAACGAACTTTCCATCTTTAACGACTAACAATCCATCATTATAAAGTACTGAAATTGTCAAGTACAATATACTTTTTTAGTCATGTGTTTTATAGGTTATTTTATGAGCATGCCTAATAATCTATTCGAACAATTTGTTTTGTTACGTGATACGTGTCATACGAAATTAATCTGATCAAAGTCATCAGGTATCGCTAGATTCGTGTAAATACTAAAATTTGTACAAATATACGTTGAGTTTTACTTCTGTTTTTTTTTTCCCGTTTCACTCGTTGAATATTTATTTGTACATATATACGTATATTTATTCTCTGGTTTCGTTTGAGGTTATACCTGTGTTTCCCGGTATTTACTTGTTTTTTTTTTTCTGCACGAGTGTGTACACGTTTTATTTTTATCGCGAGAGAGAGACATTAATTATCTTCGAGTAATCGAATTGAATTAATCCTTTTTCAATGAACGATTTACGAGTAGATGTATTCCTTTCTGTTGACCTTTTTTTCCTTTCACGCTGAATAAATTATTCCAGTTCACCTTCATTCATACATAACTGTGCCTGGTATGACCGAAACGTGTTATCATTGTAAACGGGAGATAATAAATATTTAAATCAAAATATTACTTGTTACATCGTGCAACGTTGATTAATTATAGTTTTGTGTGACAGATTTAACATTCTCTGCGTGGTATTACTCTTGTTCAATTGCTTCCACTAACAAGGAGAGTGCAAGGCCTTCGGGTCACCGATTTAGTTGAAACTTTACATACTCGTAGATTTGTTCACCCTATTTATGAAAATATAGCATTATAGGGGTAGATACTCAATGGTTCTTCAGATATTTATAATTAAAGTTTTATTATTCCAAGAAACTTACAAGGAAAGGTCCCGAGGTGTAACTCTTAGATTTTAACGATCTTTGGCACAATGATAGAGTTTGAAAAACTGAAGCCACTTATACCCGGTTTTGAGGGCAGACGGTTAATAGTTTACGAGATATTTAACATTAAAGTTTTTTTATCTGTGTTTATCTTCTAAAGTGTAGGTATGTAGTACCACAAGTGATCGTGGTGGAGTTGGTAAGACGTCTCGCTGGCGAAAGAATGTTCTTTTTTTGTCGAGGGGTTCGGTCTTGCTGGAGTGATTTTTTCAAGATGTTACTTTTTTTTAAATACACGTGTATATATTCCACTATGTATAACTAACCTTCAAATATTTTTTTCTCTAAACACTGCAATTTAATTGTTACTATAATCATATGATGTACATCAATCCAGGTGGTATTTATCATAAAAAGGGATTAGATAAACAGACATCCAGGCATTCTCAACAGAACTAACAATGAAAAACTTGTGGCCGAAGAAACAAAGATACCATTCGGCTTACATTGTCTTCAAACTTTTATGGATCAAATGTTTTTATGCTTTGAACGTTTTTATGATAAATACCATCCGAATTTATGTACATTCTATGATTATAGTAGCAATTGAATTGCAGTATTTCAGAAAAAAAAATATTTGAAGGTTAGTTATACATAGTGGAATATATACACGTGTATTTAAAAAAAAAAGTTATAAAAAAAAAGTAACATCTTGAAAAAATCACTCCAGCAGGACTGGAACCCGCGACAAAAAAGAACATTCTTTCGCCAGCCAGACATCTTACCAACCCCACCACAATCGTGTACCATTTGCTAGTTATTTTTATTTGTTAACATTAACGTAGGGTAATACATTATATTTGTAATGTGAGGGGGGGGGGGGCTGTGTTACGCTTCCTGGGACATCTGACGTGCTGGGGTGAAGGGTTGGATGATTTCTTCGAACCTGGGTTTTGGGGGTTTAATCATGAGATCTGGTGCATAGGGAGAATTTAGTACAAACTTACAAACTTCCCACCACGACCACTTCTAGTAATACATACCTACACATGAGAAGATAAACACAGGTAAAAAACTTTAATATTAAGTATCTCGTAAGCTATTAACCGTCTGCCCCCAAAACCGGGTATCAGTGGCTCCAGTTTTTCAAGCTCTATCATTGTGCCAAAAATCGTTAAAATCTGAGTGTTACACCTCGGAACCCTTTCTTGTTAGTTTTGGTTTACAGAACCCACATGTAGCATTGTGGCGTAACGGTAACGTACTAAATTTGTGTACGTCGTAGGCTAGAGTTTTCAATTCCTGTTGGAGAAATACTTTTTTTTTTCGATTTTTTTATTCGAATTAATTACACTTTACACCGGAAAGCGCATACTAAATTTTAAATAAAATGGCTTTAACTTTATTTGCTACATAAAAAAATTTGAATATGATACTTGTCATTGTACAGGAGAAATATTAAATCTATCACTACATACAAGGATGGGATTTATCACAAAAAAATGAAAATTTTATGCAAAAGAACAGAAGGTAATAAATAACATCGTAAAATATAATAAACAATAACTAAACAGACTTCGTTAACCGTGCCTGAAAAGTAAGCAGACATTTTATTTAAAATTTAATATGCACGTTCAGGTGTGAAGTGTAATTAATTTGAATAAAAAAATCGAAAAAAAATTTTTCCAGCAGAAATTGAACCCTAGCCTACGGCGTAATGTAATATTTTCATAAATAGGGTGACCAAATCTACCAGTGTGCAAAGTTTCAACTAAATCGGTGACCCGAAGGCCTTGCACTCTATTTGTAAGCTAATTGGTCTTATTCACGATACATTTCTCGTGATAAATTTTCTTTTCAAAAGCTTTTTACGAAACTTAATCCTGTTGATGCTGGTTTAATTCTAATATGTGTATGTCTATGATCATAACAGTTTAGATACGTCGATAGAACGTTAAATTCATCGTACGCGACTGGTTTTCCTGATTGGTCTTTAAGATCGTAAGGGTTAAGACATTTCGTCGAGTCTAGTCTATGTAATTCGATACAAAGGCTTGCACGAGCGCCCACGGTACATGACCATCTTAAAAATAAGTGTTCCTTGCTTTTTCTACATTCCTAACTCGTCACATGTGTCGCCACAATCGCGATTCTTCCTTCAGTTTTGAACAGAATTATCGACCTTTTGTTTTTTTGTCAGTTAAAGTGACTAAATTGAATTAAATTTCATGATCGGTATTAATTGTATTGTTCTCGTTTTGTCTTACGAGTTTCTATTATGCGCAAAATACAAGAGGCCAGTATTTAAAATGTTGTTTCATACTGTGTGATTAGAAAACAAACAGCAAAGTCATTATGC